AAAGAAAGAAAGAAAGAAAGAAAGAAAGAAAGAAAGAAAGAAAGAAAAGACAGGAGGTAATGAAGGAGCAGTTTCTATGCAAAATTACAAGATAACAACTATCACATAAAACACTCAGACCACAACCTGCACAAGATCCCCCAAAACCTTGCACAAATAGTGCTTCTACAGGGGGATCTGAGTGACAACTGTCTATTCAACCTCACACTGGTACCACCCCTTTATTAGTCTTTGTAGCCAATAATTATTTTTCAATATTTCTTCTGTAGTCCCCTACTTATAACTGTTTATTTTTTATCTGGTGCTCAAAAGCTTTTCCTACCTCAGCCTCTCAAGAACTTAGTAGCACAGGCATGACCCACTGTGATCAGCTTTCATTTCACCTTGAAATCATCCTTTACCTCCTTCAATATGCTCATAGTTTGCTACAGAAAGTGTATTTCCATTGCAAATGTCTTCTATTCCCAATTAAATGTCAGTATTCTTTGGAGAATCCCTGCCACTCTATTATTTAGGTTTGCCTACTTGATTTAATGTCCTTATAAGTGTCTATATAGTAGTTTGTATCAAATATTTATTTGTATGGTATTGATTCTAGTACAGTCCCTTCAGTGATGAAAAAACTTGCCAAAATGTTCACCTTTGATCTGTAACCAGGTCAGTTAGTAGGCATCTATTATAAGGTATGTGCCTAGTGGAATATGTGAAACAGTAGAAATTACACTTAAATGATACTTACTTCTTCCCTTTGACCACTTCATAGGAACTGATGTATTTCCTTTTGTTAGCAAAAAGTTCCACCATTTCAGGGATATAGTTCGCAAACAATATCTAAGAGGATCAGCAAATAAAATGTTAGGTCTCATTATATTTTATCAGTGCATTATAGTCATACATAATATTGGGGTTTATTTTGACACACTCATGCAAGCATGGAATATAATTTGTTCTACCTTCAGTCCCAAGTACTTCTGCTCCAAAACCCTCCCCCTGTTCTTCTTCCTCTATTCTATTGGTCTTCCTTCAATTTATTTATAGCTTTTTAAAAAACAGAAAGATGAAATTCACTGTGGTATATTCATATATATCCATAGCATATTCTGGTCAATTCAATTCCACCATTCCTTTCCTTTCCTATCCTTCTACTTCCCCATCAATCCCCTTCTTCTGTTCCATTGATCTTTTTTTTCATGAAATTCCTCTCTATTTTCCCCCCCTTATTTCAGTCTAGTTTCCTTGGTAGATACCCCCCAAAAACTAGAATCAATATACCATAGTGATATAGTAAGATATGGAACCACTTGAAGTGCCAGTGTACAAATGAATGGATAAAGATAATGTGGCATATGTACATACAAAATGGAGTTTTACTCAGCTATAAAGAATTAAATTGTGTTGGTAAATGAATGAAACATGATGCTTTATGACAAAAGCCATATTCAAAAAGGTGAAGGGTTGAATGTTTACTCTCATATGTGGAAAAATAGACCAAAATAAGGTCTCATTATTTTTACAAATGTTCCAAAATTCCAAGAATATAAAATAAAAAAAAAGTCACATACAACTTTCTTCCATCTAGCAGGGGATATGACAGTTATCTGCATTTTAAAAGGGAGACCATTTTTCTTGATTGGCCTTTGGATCTGGCTAAAATTTAATAAAATGTTTTTCAGCATACAACATGATAAAGCAAAGGTAAGGGGAAGGTCACTTCTCTTATGGTTTTGCCCTTCATAACTTTCAATTCCCTTCTTGATTCTGACTTTGCACTATTTGGGCCTTGGAAAAATGAAAGGATCATGGGGCTGAGGGAGCTTAAGAGATAATAATTGAGATGAAAGGATGTAACACCATGGACAGGAGGGTATGAGAAAGAAGATGCAGTACAGAACTCTTATTGTTGTTTTTTTTTTTTTTTCCTTTTGGTACCAGGGATTGAACTCTGCAACAGTCAACCAATGACCTACATCCCCACCCACTCCCTTTTAAAAATTTAGAGACAGGGTCTGGCTTAGGGCCTTACTAAGTTGCTTAGGTCTTCCCTAAGTTGCTAATGCTGTCTTTGAACTCATGATCTTCCTGCCTCAGCCTCCTGTGTCACTGGGATTACAGGCATGCACCACTGTACCCAGCTCTGTGATAGTGTTTAAGTAACTAAAATAAAACTCATTAAAAGAAAAGGAGCCTTCCTTTGCCCTTAATATATTCCTAAACCAAGAATAGATGCTCATTTATCTGAAATTAAATGCTGATGGGTAAGAGCTTACTCATTTGGGCTGGATGAAATAGAACTTTCCCTAGATCAAATCTCGAATTTCCTTCTTCAGAAGAAAGACTTTAATTTGATGGTAAAAGATGAAGGAAGATCGGTTTATTCAAATCAAGGTAGAGGCTAAGGAAAGTTTTCTCCCTTTTCTACCATCCTTTGCCCCCTAGAAACCAAAAAATTGTACCTTGGGCTCTTGGGGATGCAGTTTATAAAATATGGAATTTATGCATCTTCTCATTTTCACATGACACCTGCTTCAAACCTTTACCTCTGGTGACTAACCAGTATTTTTCAGTTCATATAACTATATTCAAAATACGCTTAAAAATATTGTTCACCAAACTCCCCAGGGTGAAGAACATGATAAAGGTCCGTCCTAGGGATGTCTTGGCTACCACATCTCCAAAGCCGACGGTTGACGTTGTTGCCATGACCAGGTAAATGGACTCAAAATATGTTATATTTTGTGAATTTCTACCTTTGAGCCAGGGATCACCAAAATTTTCCACCTGTTTAAAGAGAAAAGATTTAGATTTCTGAATGGAATCTAAGGGAAGGTTTAGAACAAATAGGCAAGACCTCAAATTAATCTCAATTTCTTCCAAATGAAACATTAAATGATTCTGAGGCTGCTGTGAGGACTTTGCATATTTCAGGTGTGATTGTAAAGCCTGGGTTCTCTTCATTGTGAATATTGCTGAACCTGAGGCGATCTGTGGCTTGTGCTCTGTATCTGAAATACTCCATGGAGTGGAGGCCACTGCCCCATTTCTCTTCTCATGAAGCATGCCGTGGCAGACTAGAGCCCAGGGACCCCAAAGTCTCTCAGGTCAAGCAGTTACCACTCATCTTCATTCACTAACCAGATTAGGAACACCATTGAGGAAAAAAAACATTTTAGCAAATGAGTACTTCATTTTAGTGAGCTTTGTACATAAATACTAGTATAAGAAAAATAGACAACCTTTCCAAGTATTTCCCCCTTTCCTTGCAAAAATATTTCCAGTGATTAAAAAAAAAAACCTCTGAAAAATATTTTCCTATTTTTTCCCTTGGAGTCTTTACATTTTAAGAAAACTAAATTTATTATATTATCTTTTTTTCTATTAAGTAAATGTAGTAACAGGCATTTATGAGTATTATAAATATGTAAAATATAATATATATTTTATATAACATAATAGTTATTATGATGTATTATATATGTTATGCATTTTATATATATGTTTATATATTTTTTTAGATTCTTTTTTTCTTTTTTTTATTGGTTGTTCACAACATTACAAAGCTCTTGACATATCATATTTCATACATTAGAATCAAGTGGGTTATGAACTCCCATTTTTACCCCAAATACAGATTGCAGAATCACATTTTTACATACTGCCATGTTAGTGACTGTTGTATTCTGCTACCTTTCCTATCCTCTACTATCCCCCCTCCCCTCCCCTCTCATCTTCTCTCTCTACCCCATCTACTGTAATTCAATTCCCTCCTTGTTTATTATCCCATTCCCCTCACAATCTCTTATGTGTAATTTTGTATAACAATGACGGTCTCCCTCCATTTCCATGCAATTTCCCTTTTTTCTCCCTTTGCCTCCCACCTCGTGTCTCTGTTTAATGTTATATACAATTTATAAGTATGTATAATTTATAAGTATGTATTTATACATAATTGTCCTTTTCCCTTTTTTTGACTTTTTCACCTTAGTTTACATATTTCTTAGATGTTTTCCAGCAACAATGATGATAAAATGTTGGAGATTTCTGGAGAAAGTATGTGTTTTGTTATTAAAAACTGGAATTGGGATCAGAAGTCATGTTATTTGCACATGTATTTGATTGATTTTTAAAAGCCATGTTCCAAATACAGACCTTTTACTAATTTTGATGGGGCAGAGGATTAAAATTATTAATTCCTTTAACCCCACACTCCAAAATAGAAAAGAGGATGTATATTCATACTTAATTTCCATGGCTGATACTAGATATTGTTGCAACATTAACCAATCTGCTTCTGCTGACTCCTGGGGTCTTCACTATTTTTAAGACTAGTATACATCAGATGAAAGCCAAATTTAAGTCACTCCTGTATATTGGGACAGTTTCCTTGAAGCTTAAACTCCATTGTCTTTCACAACATCTTGGCACAGGGATTCAATATTATCCCTGAGAAATACATTGTATAGAAGAAAAGCAAATTGATTTCAATCTGAGAATATCCTTGAAAATAATTTAAATAGCCCTTTAAAATTTAACTCACTGTCTTTGGGAGTATTTCTTACTTCAGTGTTTCAAATCCCTTGTTACTTTCCCAGCATCTCTTTAAATTGCCCGTGTAGTTTATGGGGAAAGAGAGTTGGCAGCCTTAAGCTGATCTATCTGTTCACTATGCTTTTTCTCTTACCATGTTGGCATCAACCCATTAGACCAAGATGGGAAGTAAGTTAAAGTTAAGGCAGAGGATCATGGACCAGTGTTTAGATACTGAATCATTATCTAATTCCATATTTCAAAACCGAATCTCATGTTTTTAAACTTTATCTTTCAGTGCAGTTTAGGTAAGGGACACCACGTAGGAGGAGAATACTAGGATACTTTCCCATCTTCTCTCACCTCTCCACTAACATTATATTAGTTATAGTCTTGTGGCACATGCACATTCTAGTTTGTAACCATAAGGTGTCTGGTTATATTGACTGTCTTTTAAATTAAGTCAGTAATCACTAACGCTATTTTTCATCATGGACTGTCCATTTGTTTTGCTTTGTTTTTAGTTTTGATTCATGACCTTTGCAGCTGCTTTTGATCAGGATACATTTCTGAAAGGGTTTCACAGGTGTTATTTCCCTTGGATGCTTAAAGTAATAAAATAGGTTACATTTTTTTTTCACACAAACTTTCTCTATCATTTTCTGGTATTCAGTAAAGCTACCAAGAAATATGATGCTAGGTTTTTCCCCTTTTCTGTGAGTCTTGCTTTCTTCTGCATAGATTCTCTCCCTTATCCTTGGCAGTCAATGATTGTTTCAAAACATGATTGGAATTAATAATTTAAAGTTGCCAGGTGATGTGGCACATGCCTATTATTCCAGTGGCGTAGGAGGCTGAGGCAGGGGGATCTCAAGAGTTCAAAGGCAGCCTCAGCAAAAGGAAGATGCTAAGCAACTCAGTGAGATGCTATCTCTAAATAAAATACAAAACAGGGCTGGGCATGTGGCTCTGTGTCAAATACCCTTCAGTTTAATTCCTGGAACCCATCACCCCCCAAATAATAATAATTTAGAGTCATTTTCCCTGGAATACAGTGTACTTTTTAATCTATTGATGCACAACCATGTTTTCAAACAATTTTCTGGTGCCATTTTTTGCATCCTTTCCTTTGAAAATACTTATAATATTTATACTTTGTTGAATCAATCTTATTATCCATCTTTCCTGTTTCTTCTCCACAATTATGTATCTTCTAAATCAGTATTTTTTCTTTTGTCCTGTCATGCATGTTTCTGAACATGTTTGTGTCATTTTATTTTGGTTTCTTTTAATATGATTTCAGCTCTGTAATAATTTCTTCTTTTTCTCTGTTATCTCTCAACCTGTTCTTCCGTTCCTCCAATTGTTTAATAATTCCATAGTCAAAACCTTATAAATTATTGTATGAAGGATAATTTCAGTCTTTTTTATAGTTCTCTGCATTTTTTTTTCAAAATGAGGGATTTTCTTAACTTTTCTTTGTTCCCCTGGGCAAATTATCTTGTAATGATTGGTATTATGTAACTACTATTATAGTGGTATCTCTATCCCTTCCCCGACACCTTGTTATTTTTGACAGATTTGAATCTTAGGTACCACACTGATTCATCTCTTGTTAATGCTCATCTTTTGTTGGTATCAACTTTCAGCAGGATATTGTGAGTATGGAAAGGTGTTGAGTTGGAATCATGATAACTTTTATTTTGATCTGTCATTTCAAACAGTCTCCCAATACATCTAATGAGTATAGTCCCACTAGATTTTTTACATTGTGGAAATTAGTGTGACTCAAATAGAGCCCTTTAATTCACAAGTCATTTGGTTGCTTCTCCTTTCTCTGCATGCAGCCTTCCTAGAAGTCTCCTCAGCTGGGGGACTGCATGCCCAGTGGGGTAATAGGCTCACATGCTTAGAGAGAGGACAAGCAAGAGACCTCAATGATTTAAGTGGGTCAGGCAGATCCCATGCCCAACCCAAGAGCACCTGCTTCACACAGGGAGCAGTCACTCTTCAGCTATGACTCTTGGTGGCCTTGAGAGTGTGGGATTACCCCACTCTTGCATTTTCCCAAAGAATTTAGAAATCTGGATTTTTATGACTATGACTCTTGGTGGCCTTGAGAGTGTGGGGGTTACTCCACTCTTGCATTTTCCCAAAGAATTTAGAAGTCTGGATTTTTATGTGAGTGTTCCATAAAAGTTAGCAACTAATTAAAAAAGATAGAAAACAGAAAATGAAAACCTAATTAAGTAAAATAAAACATGCTGATAGGCACATTAGCTGAAAATCCTCTAACTGGAATTGCCATTGAAGACAACTTTCAGCCTTCCAGGATGGCCAACAAATCTCTCCAGGAACACTGATAATTGTTTCTCCCTGGGTAGTTGCATGACTGTAGGTCTAATTCTCTACACTCAAGGATCTGCCTTTCCTGCTGTGATACATCTTCAAGAAAAACTTTCCCCTGCTTAAGTGCTAAAGAGGAATGTGGCTGGCTTCAGATTTTTCAAAAGTCCCATAATAGTGTGCATTTAGTATTTAACCTTTCCTGGATAAATTGAGGATGGTAAGTGGTTTGACTTTTTGTTCTTGTTATTGTTATAAATGATTTTGAGAGACAGAGTCAAGGCCACAGGACTGGTCCTATATTTTCTATTTTGTTTTTTTTCTCAAAGGATTAAGGATTCTTTAGGCTTTAAACCTCCCACTTCAATTTTCACATTCTTCACATCAATTTCACATTTGCTCCTCAATTGTCCTCAAGAAGTAAAGACCAGGAATTTCTTTCATTTTGATGCAATCCATTTACTGTGTGGCTCACTATGTGGGATAGGAACTAGTCCTTCCTATAGGTTAAGGAAGCAGAGAGATATTCCGATTAATTTCAGGAGCCTCAAAACTTCCTTTGGTGTGGCTGGGGTTGTGGCTAAGGTGCTTGAGTTCTTGCCTACCATGTGTGAGGCACTGAGTTCGATTCTCACATGGCATATAAGTAAATAGAATAAAGGTCCACTAAAAATTAAAAAAATATATATTTTTTATAAAAACTTTCTTTGGCAATAGCAACTCCTCCTGGACAACTATATAGCTTCCGTGTTTGAAATTTTTAAATTGGGTTTCTCCTCCCTCCTCCTCCTCTTCCTCTCCCCCCACCC